GAAAGAGTTAAAAGCCTTGACGGCCTGGAAAGTCCCACAAGTGATGTTACAGTCCAACAATTAAGAGTAAATTAATTACAGAATACTGGATGGTAGATGAAACCTTGAGGACAGTGCAGGGCCTCCCAATAAAAAAACCCACACTGTTTTATGACCCAGACCTCCATAAAAAAAGAAAGAAAGAAAGTTGTAGCCTATTGTCTGCCACTGGGCTTTAAAATCCACTGATAGTTTTTAAGTACAGACAAGCTATTTTTTTTATATTAAAGTTACTCAAACAAAGTGATTAACATAACTACATTTAAAAAGTCACTTTTTATGTATAAACTAATGTCTGTACCTTCTTAAAACATTAACTGGATCTAAAACTGGGGTTCACTAGTGCTAAAAATGAAAACATTTTATTGTGTGCTGCTGTGAAATAAAAGGATACAGCTGTTTAGTAGTCATACTGCGTGCAGCTATGTAGTAATTGCACATAAACTGACAAGGCACTGCAAGTTTGAAGAGGAAGAAGAAAAAAAAAAAAGTTCACGCCCAGCGCCTGAGGCTCCTCCTGCAAAGGATTAAAAAGCAAATGGAGGCATTCGTTAGGGGCAGAGGGGGAGTTCTGCTGGGTCAGAAAATATACAGGAGCTGCAAATCAGAGACTTAGCAGACCTGCGCAACTTTCTGACAAGAACAGTTTGGTTTGTTTTTTACTACTTTGACTTGATCCTGGTCGCTGCAAAGATGACCACAGCCGTGGTATCGCCTTTCTTCGACTTCGAAGTAATGAACAAGGTAGCTGCAAACTTTTTTTTCTGTTCCTGTTTTTCCAGACATGCCAACTGTTGTTAGCACCAGCGCGTTAGCCGCTGTGGAGGAATGATGAGCTGCGTGCCCGCGGCCCTCGGCCGTGACGCGCCTGTTTGGAGCTCTTTTGATTCTTGTTTTGTCCTTTCGGACCACTTTGAGTTCGTTGTTTGTTTGTTTGTTTATTCCGCCTGTTTCCTCTTTTCACGTGATTTTATTTACGTTAAACTAATGTATCAAATTTCGCCGTAGCGTGACCGTAACGTTAACTTAAAATGTGCTGCAGAAGTAAACTTTGGCATTTTAACATTCAACATGTGCCACAGCAGCCAACTTTTCATTTAGACTTTTCCGTACCTTTGTGGGGGAGGGGGTCAGTTGATCAGGTCGTCTGGCTTTACCAGAGCAGTTTTGCGCCACTTTTAATACTCTCCCAGCGGCCACATGCGCGCTAATCATTGACCAGATTTGGGTGGTTTCAACCTACTCTTTGTTCATATAAAGCTGTTTATACGCCTGGTTGTGTTTTAACTTTAATATCTGTTTGGAAATGGCGCGTTTTCAACTTCGTACACAGTTTAAAGTTTTTCAGACTGTATAAAACGGCGTCTTCCCCCTCGGCTGTTAAGTCCAATGATTAACCAGTCATCTCCTCTA